TGAGCTGCCACGCCGCTCTCTGCCAACTGCGTGACGACGTATTAGGGAGAAGCAAATTTGTTTGGCCCAGAGCGTCTGATGTGGGCAAACAACATTTATTTATGCCCCAGAGTGTGGGAAGTATTTAGTTCGCTAAGAACGTCGATTTGCTGGAGGGTCTATTACCCAGAGTCACGGACTGTTCTGTTTAATCGAATTATACTTTGATTTCAAAAGCTCCTTTTCCAGTGAGTCTATATATTAGATTAATTTGGGAGCCAATTGTCGCACTTTGGAAGAAGAGACTAATTAAGCCCATGGATTTGAAATGCAATGCCTGGCCCGCTTTGGTTTATTATTTCTTGCTTATGCGAGGTAACCCTCTGCTTTTTAACTACGACATCCGCATAACGACGTGAACAAAGTTGTTTTATTGTGGGGCTTGTCACTTGAATTAATGTAATCTGTAGAGAATTGTTTTTTTTGTTTAACGTCATCTAATAACCAACCACAAATTTTACGGAAATTTACTTAATTTTATGTTTTCTTGTACATATTTCGCTAATTTTCCGTGGCAAGGCCCCACCCTTAAAAACACCCTTTCCAACATCCCCGTTTTTCACGATTTTGGAGTTAATAGGGCCTCATAGGGTGTAGATAATCTACCGTTACCAGAAGGCTTTTTCTAGGGGCGCATATATGTAAGGTGCATAAGGAGATGCCTTTGCGGAAGTAAGTTCTCACCTTCTTGCTTTTGCGACCACAAGGTGTCAGTCGGAATACAGCCCGCAGCGTCATTGAGGACAGGAGAATTGCGAACTTATGCTGGAGGTCAGAGTATGTAGTTAACCTCAACGCACCAGCTCTGCTGTTGGCAGGTGAAGTTAGGTCCACCCTGGTTGAACTCGTGTACAAAACCTGCCTTCTCTACATACTGGTGATTACAAGAGAGCATGTCACCCAACTCAGGACCTTCATCATCATCTTCTCAGTTAACAGTCATTTATAGGGAAAATTATTCACATGCTGTCGGATAATTGCAGGCTATGATGCATCTGAACACTGAATTACAATTTCCGGTGCGAACGCCATAAAAACTATTTAAGCTATGTGACGACAAACGAGTGGCGCTGTCGGCAATCTCATAAATGAGCCACGTCAGACGAACGCATGTATGCAGCTAGAGACCTCGAAGACGCCAATAGCTGGATTCGGAGTCTTGTAAAACGTAATATCTTCCTAGGTCCACCGACGAAGTCACACGGTTTTACCTATTCGTTAGGGTTTTCTCTTGCTGCCGTTTTCTCTTGCGCGAGTTTGAAATGCAAGAACGACAAAGTATTTGAGTACTGCACAAATGCCGCAAGTGTAAAAAATAAGGCTTCTTCCTGCCGTGATTAATGCATTGGGTACGTTTAAACTAATCTTGCATCGGTTGGCTTCCAGCGTTACACTCAATACAATCTTGACTAAGTTGGCTTCACATAATGGACTGCCTACATGTTTAAGTTTCTTAGTGTGAGAAAGATTTTTCGATATTGCATAAAATATGTGCTAAGAATCTACCATGTGTCATTTCAGCATTGCTTCGGGACATGAAATCGTGGCGGACCAGCTGAATTGCCGGAGCCTCAGACTGTTCCACGCAGCTCCTTCCCGCGAGATTCACGGACAAAATTTCGGTTGAAGTAAGCGCTACGGTTGTCGTCGTTCCAAAACGCACTGAAAGACCGTTGGGAAGTTGCTAAAAAGAAAACATTTTGGCAACCCTTTAAAGAAAGTAAAGTCGGTTTGGCATAGAATAGCTTCATAAATAAAAAAATAGGGTACACGTGTCTCCAAATGATGCCGAACTACGCAGACACAGGCACAGTGGAAGTTCGGTGCATATTAAAGAAAAGAATTTTTAACTACTAAAACGCATTCTCAACTCTGCACTAGAACATTAAGCAGAAATCGATTCGTTCTACTTGAATGCAGGGGTAAATCTCGACTTGATCGATTAGTTACCTGCAGCGGCAAAACTTATTTCCCGCGTTGAAAATGTCGTTCGCGTATCTTCACGAAAACGCCAGTTATTTTTTTCCTTTTCGACGTATTCCACTTTCGGTGCAGTTACAAATATCCCTCGACTTTACCGGCAATACTGTCTGCCTAGAATATTAGCCCCCAAGACTGCTG